CTATTAGCATTTTTTAAAAGTCCTTTTTTAAAAAAGGGAAAGGTTGTGTTTGTGTACTGTTTTGAGTCGGGATAGATTTTCAGTGGTGTTTGAACATTTAATACAAATGCCAGGTTAATAAGAGAGACATCCTATATTATAAAGAGCTGATAAGCAAATGGTCGGCATGGCCTCATGCCCTGGCGCTTGGACCGGGGACCTGAGGCTGTGCATTCCCCCACCTACCCCCCACTCCCACCCCGACCCGACCCCAACCCCACTGCCAAGGCCTGGGGAACTGAGGCCAGGCCAGGGGACCTGAGGCTGCACCCCCTGCCCTGCAGGGCTTGATGGGGGGTGGGGCCAGCCAGGTCTGGGTCTCAGGCGGTTTAGAGGATGGCATATGGGTGGGCGGGGACTTGACTCGGGGTCCTACAGTGAATCCCAGACTCTGACAGGAGGGAGATTTTCATATACATTTTACTAATTTTCTTCCGTTTCTGACACTTCTATTATAGAGAAAGGGCAAATAGCAATATTAAAATATTTCCTCTAATTAACTACCTTTTAATGTGCATGAATTTCATGCCACTAGTGTTGAATATAATAGACTAGTTGCAATCTGTGACTAAAAACATGTTTGAAGTAAAACTGAACCTCTTTTAGACATAAGCAAAGTTATTATTTTCTCCCATAGTACATCTGTTTAGGGCTGGCTGACTAATCCTTTAAGAAGTTGCTGAACTTCCTCCAAGTGCTGAAAACCTAATTCTGTTTTAAAAATAGCTGTGTGTAATTTTATCTTCGTATGTGTATTTCAAGTGTTTAACAAAAAGGTAATTATTTTTGTAAACTAATGATTTCTTAGACCCAGCTCCAATTGAGGCCGTGTGTGTGTGTGTGTGTGTGTGTGTGTGTGTGTATTTAAAGGAGTCCTGGGAAAAATAGTCCAAAAGAGTACAAAGTTTGTGGGAGGAAGGGTTGGTTTTCATTTTAAGTTTTTTATTTGAAAAGTGTTAATAGTGTTAATATCTCAGCCATGTGAAAATAGGAAACTTCCTTTTCTGAACTACAACACTAGTTGTTGACACAGTAGAATCATAGTGGCAGAGTCCTAACCATAGTGTCCTATTAGGTAGAGTCCTACCATGAAACTCCTCAGTTTGTCAGAAGAATCATGTACTAATTAAGTACTTCACTAAACCAGCTCACAAAAATGAAATGAATTATGCTGAAAATACATTTCAATGAGAAATGAACATTATAAGTGCTCTTACTAGTAAAGCTTCTAACTAATGTTCTATGTTGTTTAAATTCTTTAATTTCTTTGAACCCAAATGTTAAACACAACATTCAGACACAATTTATTGTTTAAATGCTGATGGTAAAAAAAGAACAACCCTGGGGGGTGGTTCTCTTGATAGCCTTGCTTTTTCTTTGTGTGTGGAATTTCTTCACCTTGTGCCACACTTTCCCATAGCAGAGTAGTTAAATGCAAGTTTCTCAAGCCAGCCTGGCTGCTTCCGCCATTGCTAGCTTGGGCAAGTTACTCCTTTGTGCCTCCATTTCTTTTTTTTTTCTTTTTTCTTTTTTTTCTTTTTATTTATTTATTTATTTATTTTTTTTACATATTTTAATGATTTTTTTTGCCCCCCTCCCTCCCTCCCCCTAGCCCCTCCCTCCCCATAGTTTTATGTCCATTGGTTGTACTTATATTGTGCCTCCATTTCTTCATCTGTGAAATAAATCACATCTGCCTTACAGGTCTGTTGTGAAGGTGAAGCGAGCAAATAACTTACAGATCTCTTAGAGTAGGCACCCCAAACCAAAAATGTTTGCTCTTCTCATACTTCTCCCCTTCCCCTTCCCTCTGTTTCTGCCCTCGCTCCCCTCAACCCCCATGCTGCCAACTCATGTGTTTCTCTTTATGATTAGACAACCAATATTAATACCTTTCCTCTTGCTATTGCCTAATCAAATTTTACCCTGTTTTAGTCATTTCTTAATGTGAGTTGCTTTTCCCACATGGTTTTTAAAGAATACTTTCAACTTCTGTGTTTTGATTAGGCTCACAGGTTTTTTGAATTTTCTTCCCAGGACAGTTTCCATGAAATGAATTCTGTTAGTTATGTTTAAAATGAATGAGAAAAGAATACCTATTTAGTCAGTGTGGTGAAACAAAATGATTTATAATGGTTGAATACCTGTCATCAAGGTATGTCTTCTAGCACTAATTCTGGCTTTGGTAGTGTGTAGGCCAGAACCACTTAACTATAACCATGGCATTTATGGATGGCCCTGTTACAGCTATTAATTTAGATTACAATATTGGTATGTCTTGTATTAGGAGTGAATGCTATGTATCAATGTCAGCAAATATCATTTACAAATTCTTGCTTATGACCTGTCTCTAACATGTCTTTAAACACTTCCTTATGCCATTAATAGAAGACATGGGACAAAAGGTGTGACAGGCAGCTTTTTGATCTAGTGAACCATTTGGTTAAAAATCAATGAATATGTGAACTTTCTTATTGATATCATATCTTTACTAGTAAAACTTTTCTAGTTTATTTTACTGAGCTGATTGTGTGAATCTTTTTCATGTGAATCTAATAAAGATGTATTTCCTAACTTAATGTATAGTCTTGTTTTCTTTCTGTATTATATATAATATGTTAAGGTGATAGTCCTTGCATGAAACTTTACTTGCAGTTAAGAAAAAAATAAGTTAGTGGAAAGTATAGTGTCTTTCTTTGTTTTACTTGCTTAGTCATGAGTTCTGTGGTTCTGTAGCTCATAATACAAGCATCAGCAATCTCTAAAAAGCGTATTTTTCTGTCTTATCATATATTTATATCTTGTATGCTGAAATCTTTTTTGAGAGAGAAATGTTTATATTTCTTGAAATATACATGATTCTTCAGACTGGAATCTAATGAAATAGGACACCCATTTGAAAACCAGAGGATAAAAGTGATCAAATGATTAGCCAGAGGCTAATAGAAATTCTGGGAAGAATGACAGATTGTATATTAGAAAGAAATATGATCTCATATTCATTGAAGCTTTTTACAGCTAAAGATCTAAAATAAATAATAGAAAATTACTGAAAGAGATGAATGTCTGAAACTTTAGAAATCCGTGGAGTGTTGGATTAATCCAAGCAAGAAAGACTGATGGGCAGATAATAAATTACATTGTGTAGGAAGTCTGCATTCCTTGTTTTCAAAGTATTTTTGTCTTTTTTTTTTTTTCCTGGCAAGATATATTTAAGTAGCTCTAGGCCAATTTCAGAAAATTCCTTTTATGATTTTTATTATCACACCATATGTGTGTGATTCTTTGAAATAGATAAAGTATTATAAACAGAGACTTCAAATCCTTGAGTGGAAGAAATTAAATCTTCCTTCTGTACCAAATTAATAGCAAGTGTTTCCTTATGAGAGTGTAAGCAATATAGAATACCTTTTCTCATACAAGCCCACAAGTAAAGGAGAGTTTGAAGAAATGTACTGTACCGCTGCCTGGAAAAAGCTGTACTTCAACAGCTATCCTTCTGTTGGGAAAACAAATAGTCATAAACTGGAAAATGTGTATATGTTCATTTTCATGACAAGGAAGTGGTTTACTTACTTAACTGTTCCAAATTTTACTTTGCTACAGGTACATTTTTTTTTACTTAAAAAATTGAATGTATGTTTGTGTGTGTAATTATTGCCTATTTCATATAAATTTATACACAAAGTGATATAGAGTCTTTTCTCTCTCTCCAGGGTTAAGTGATCACACAGCATTATAATAATTGTTTAAGAGTTCAGCTACTTTTAAGTATGTTGATTGAGAAATATGCATACTAATTCTTAGACTATTTGAAACTTTTAATCAATTTTCCCCCAGATTTTTGCCATTAAGGCTTGGCATTCATTTGTGTTCTTAGTTTTTGTAGGATTAGGGAGAAAGTGAAGTGTTTCCTGGAAAAAAAAAAAAAAATATATATATATATATATACACACACACACACACACACACACACACACACACACACATATATATATATAAAACTTAATGTACACTCTTTATTCTTCGTGGATATATTCTTGTTGGCTCTTCTTTTTCTTTTTTTCCTCATTAATCCTCACCTATAGATATTTTTTCCTGTATTAAAAATAAATTTTTATGAGCAAGTGGAAGAGAGGGAGGGAAGAAGAGAAAGAGAGAAAAACATCAATGTGAGGGAGACACATGGATTGGTTGCCTCCTGCATACCCAGCCAGGGCTGTGAACCTGCAATCCAGGTACGTGCCCTTGACTTGGAATAGAACCACTGAGCCACACTGGTCAGGGCTTTCCCAATATATACTTCACCTATGGGGGAAAGAGATGATTATATTACTCTGTGAAACTGAAATTCTGACTCCAGATCACCTGGGTTTCTGTGTACTTAAGCATTTAACTTAATGATTTGCCTTGAACTTGAAATGTAAGCAAAGGATACTTAATGAACTTACAATTATTCTTCTCTACAGAGTTATTTTTTAAAAATATATTTTTATTGATTTCAGAAAGGAAGGTAGGGAGAGAGAGAAACATCAGTGATAAAAGAGAATCATTGATTGGCTGCCTCTTACACGCCCCTACTGGGGATTGAGCCTGCAACCCGGGCCTGTGCCTTGACTGGAATTGAACCCAGGACCCTCAGTCCGCAGGCCAACGCTCTATCCACTGAGCCAAACCATCTAGGGCTCTACAGAGTTATTTATCTGCATCCCCGGTATATAGATTTCTCTCTCTCTCTCTCTCTCTCTCTCTCTCTCTCTCTCTCTCTCTCTCTCTCTCTCTCTCTCTCTCTCTCTCTTTGTGTGTGTGTGTGTGTGTGTGTGTATACTAGTATCTTTGAGGACAGTGCACTATCTATTTAGCCCTAATAGATACCTGTGTTTCTGGATAAATTGTTCTTTAAGTGGTTAAAGATGATAGAATTCTAACAGGAATTCTTTTTATTTTTTTTATTTTTGCAGCTATGTCATCTTATCTTTTAATTATTAAGATAGAACTTCCTACAACTATTTCAGAATTTTTGTCTGGAGACCATAGTGGGTAAGAAAAAGAACTTTACATGTGTTCACTTATTTATTAATTCAACAAATATTTATTAAGCTAGTGGGTTGTAAAACAAATGTAGTCCCTGCCCACAAGACACTTACATATTAGGCAGCGGCAGAGTAGTCAGAGAGAAGAAATGCTCAGCAGATGTTTATCGATGATCCATTATGTAGGAAGCACTGTGCCTTGAGCTCTTTGGAAGGGCTTAACCCTTAGAGTCTGTGAGAGTGTGATAGGGCCGGATAGGTGTGAGCTAGATCTGGAGAAGGTAAAGGTGGAAGATTGGGATGGGGGAGTAGAGAAAGACTAAAAGTACTGATAGTAAAGGTCAGCAAAGGATGGAGTAGATGAAACTACTATCACTTTTCAGCCAACTATCGTAATAAAGATAAATCATATTGATAAAGTTATAGCCACACTTATTGTGAGATTCCTTGTATAAAGCATGATTTAAAAATTATTTTCAGCTTGTTTTTTTTTTTAACAGTGTTATAAACAGTACTAAACCACATCATACCCTGTTTCTCCTTATTTTAAAAGCACTGTGTTCTAAAGACTGTTGACTCATCTCTCTTTTTTTAAAAAAAAAATATATATATTTTATTGATTTTCGTACAGAGTGGAAGGGAGAGAGATAGAGAGTTCGAAACATCAATGAGAGAGAGTCATCGATCAGCTGCCTCTTGCACACCCCCTACTGGGGATATGCCCGCAACCAAGATACATGCCCTTGACTGGAATCAAACCCGGGGCCCTTCAGTTCCCAAGCCGACGCTCTATCCATTGAGCCAAACCGGTCCCGGCTGACTCATCTCTTTTTATGGGGGGAAAAACAAATTAATTATACTTTTCCTTTCACTGCATAGAACAAGAAATTTTGAGAAAAATAAACTTAAAAAGACAAAATACATTGTTTTGTCATCAAGTTATTTTACATATTTATAAACAATAACAAAAACAACCTATCAGACTTTTAGGTTTAAGTATTTGGTTGTTTTGCTCTAATATTTGGACTTGGTCTGGATTGAAGAACAAGTTTTCAAAATGTATTTAGCTTTTACAATGTGGCTTATACCAGTATGAAAGAATTCTACTTAGATAACTGTAAATACATATTTATAAAGAAAGTATATATACTTTATTTTTTCATCAAATTTATTGGGGTGACATTGGTTAATAAAAAGTATGGTATACTTTATTTAGATCTAACTAAGAACTGTTAAGAAAATGTGGTTGAGAAAAGTTCTTAATGATGTTTCATTATCAGAAATATTGTGCCTTAATATACAATAGTACTTTATTAGTTCACAAGGTTTCCTCATTCATTATCACATTTGATGCTCACCAGTACCTTTCTTATCTACAGCTTTATATAGTTAATTTTAATTTTTATGCTCTTAGTTTGATAAGTAATTCCTATAAGAAATAGCTATGTGAAAATCACTTTTGTATTTGTAGTAAAAATATTGCAGACAACTTTTTATTACTCAAAAAGTTCTATGTGATAAATTTTTTTTATAAAGTAGGGCTAAGAACTCTACGCAGTATGAGGTAAAATGAATATCAAACAAAGAGTAAGGAGGTGTGTGTCCTATCCATTTCATATTCAGAAACCTCAGGAAATTAATTTTACTTTTTTTCACCATAAAAGCCTTAGGTTTCTTCATCTGCTGTAATACTGGCAGTACTATATTGTCTTCTTAAAAAATTTGTTGGGATCATCAATATTGACTGTATTAAAGATGATTTTTTCTCATTTTCTCTGCTTGCCCGGAAGGTCAGAGTCAAATTTGAATGTTTTGCATTAACTCTGTTAATCCTGATAGTTGTCATACGTGTGTGTGAGTGTGGTTTGTTTTTTTTCCTTGGTCCTGAATTGAGTCACTTCTATTCACATTTTAAAAAATGTTTTCTATTGATTTCAGAGAAAGAGAGCTAGAAATATCAATGATGAGAGAGAATTATTGACCGGCTGCCTCCTGCATGCCCCCTTCTGGGGACTGAGCCTGCAACCCTGGCATGTGCCCTGCCTAGAAATTGAACTGGGGCCTCCTGGTTCATAGGTTGAAGCTCAACCACTGAGCCTCATCAGCTGGGCATATTCACAATTTTTAATTTTTTTTTCTTTTTGATTAAGGTTTTACCAATATTATTTCCCCAATAACCCCCAACCCCCTACTCATGCCCTCACCCCCCTGTTGTCTGTGTCCCTTGTTTAGACTCATATGCATGCATACAAGTTTCTTGGTTGATTTCTCCCCCTTACCCCCAACCTCCCTTACCTTCCCTCTAAGGTTTGACGGTCTGATCAATGCTTCTCTGTCTCTGGATCTGTTTTTGTTCATCAGTTTGTATTGTTCATTATATTCCATAAATGAGTGAGATCATGTGATATTTATCTTTCTCTGACTGGCTTATTTTGCTTAGCATAATGCTCTCCAGTTCCATCCATGTTGTTGCAAATGGTAAGAATTCCTTCTTTTTTACCGCAACATAGTATTCCGTTGTGTAGATGTACCACAGTATTTTAATCCACTCTGGGCACTTAGGCTGTGTCCAAATCTTAGCTATGGTAAATTGTGCTGCTATGAATTTAGGGGTGCATATATCCTTTCTTATTGGTGTTATTCACAGTTTTTTGTTGTTATATGTGTTTGTGCAAAGAGGAAGAATAAAAATACATATAAAATTTTAGAAATGATTAAGGTAGTATGTCAGAACTGCTGTTAAAACTCAGGTCTTCTTTCTCTAACAGTGGTACTTTTACCATAGCTTCAGTTTAAATCAGTTGTCATTTAATTTTTTTTTTCCTAGCTTGTTTAAAAAAAAAATTAATTCCCATCTCACTTATATTAATAGAAAATTGATAAAAATGTTATTTTTACATGTCACACATTAACTTTTAAAATTACATACTTCAAAATACTGTGTCCAATTTGCATAATTTCTATTATGATGTTTTAAAACTGCATATTTAACAGTTTTAATGTTTAAAATATATTTGCTTATTTTGAATTTCAAATTTTTGAAAAAAATTAATATGATTAATTATATTGGTTAGCATGTCAATAAATTATTAGTCTTTAAAGTTTAATGCTGTAAAATAATTAAGAAACAAATGATATGGTAATTTATTTAACTATCTAGGGTAGTTTATTTCTGGATAGAGTTACATAGCACTATTTTTTCTATGAGATCAATATGATATTGATATGCTTTTATTTTAGAGTTTGACTTATAGTGACTTGCAGTTAAGATCTTTTAAGTGAGCTTATTTTCTGGGTTGTCTGTGAGATTTGATGTACCTTTGTGAAACATAAACCTTTACAGGGATGTGATTAAAAAGAAACTTTATGTTCATAATATTCCACTTTCAAAAATTACTATTAGAAGTCAGAAGCTATAATATTTATACCAAACTATTATGAGACATCTATATTTTTCATAGAATAGTTTCTATTTTAAAAATCTATGTCTGTTAAAATGTGGAAGCTCTCTGTTAACATTTAATGATCTTGTCAGGGGAATATGATTGACACAATTAAGTTGTCTTGCATTTGAGTTACAAAATTGATATGGGATGTGAGTCAGATCCTAATTCAGAACATATGATACTCTTGTTCCATTCCATTCGAGAATGAAATTAAAGCAACTTATAAATAAATCTGGTTTTCATTAAAATATGGAAAAAAATGTCTGTATGCCGAAGCATTTGAAATATAGTTTAGGATTTATACTCTATATTTCATACTTGGAACATTTTTATCATACAGGATTAAATCCACAGATCAAACAAGTTTTCTAGGAGGTATAAAACTTTTTACTCTAATTCTGTAAGCTTAAAGGGAAAGTATATTTATATCACAGTAGGAAAACAGGAGTTCTGTTAGATAATTTTTTTTCTCCCTCTCAAATTTAAGATTAGGGTAAATCTAAAATTTTGACTTATAAAATATACTTATTTAATGTGTGCTTTTTGAGGTTTCTTTTTACTGGGTTTGTATTTTGTAAGTTTAATCACTTCTGTTCTTTAGAAATATCTCTTGGAAAGAAAATTCAGTTGACTGACGTGCATGTGAAATGTAAACTAACTTTACTGAGTATTACTGTGTTGCCTTTATTGTCAGCGTTATTAATCTAACTAAATAAGGGTAAGAAACAATTAATAATAACCAGCAGCCAAGCAGGGATAGAGAAATTATATCTTGAATACAGTTTTTTACATTAGGAATTTATAGTCAATCTGATAAAGAGGTGAATAAAGGAAGCACAATGTTGAGAAAAATAAAGCAATATCTGGAAAATACAGTAAACTCAAAATCACTCTTCAAGACTAGTGAATATTTCCATTGCTCTATCCCTAAGGTCAGCATCGACCTTTTGCTGATTCTGCTGACATATGAAATGAAGTTTTTGAGCCAGATGATCTGTGAGGTGCCATGACTCTGATTCTGAGTTACTGCTGGGAGGGGTGAAGTTATCTCAGACCCACAGTTCAGTGCTTTGGGCAGTCATGTGGCTTCTATGATGATTGAAATTGTGATTTGAAATAGTATAACATTGTAAAATATAATATAATGGTATCCTATATAATAAAGAGGTGATATGCAAATTAACCCTCATGCCCTCACAAGATGGCTGCCTACCACCAGGCCAGCAGGGGCGTTAGTGAGGGACCACCAAACAACTGAACAGCAAGCTGCATGGGGCAACCAGTTCTGTGGGGAAGCTGTGAGGGTGACCAAGCCGGAAGGGGGGCAGTAAGGCAACCAGGCTGTCATGGGGGGCGGTTGGGAGCAACCAGGCTGGCGGGGGCGGGAGGGCAGTTAGGAGTGACCAGACTGGCAGTTAGGGGACAGTTGGGGGTGACCTGGCTGGAAGCGGGGAGCAGTGGGGGCGACCAGATCAGCAGGGGTGGCATTAAGGGGTGACCAGGCTGGCAGGGGGGGGGGCGGACAGTTAAGAGCGACCAGGCCAGTGGGAGGGGACAGTTG